AACATGAATTATCATGCAAAAACAAAAGAAAGAACGTGGCATTTTTATAGTAGGACTATTGATCAGTAAAGATTGTAAAAAAATAATAATGAACTACAGCCGGCACTAAGGCGTAAAAGCATATAAACTTCTAGCGGCCCGCCCCGGCTTCGCACGGGTATTTAACAAAATATTTAAAAGAAAAATTATCATACACACACATAAAACCTTTAGAATATTCGTCGTCTTTGGGGATTAATATTATGAATTTCTTCATCTTTTAATTAAATACCCTTGAAATTATGTCACGTAAAAGTGACAAATAAGTCTGGTCTCCCATAGCTTCGGACATAAATCATCGCATCTTTGGTTTTTTTGTTGACCTATGTCTGATGATCCGATGTTTGATCAGCCAATGTCTTGATTTAAAGCTTCTCTAAGATGAATGTTTCACCAGCCCTCAGTCTCTGGTGACATAATATGTAATTCAATCTTTCTGATATCTTTTTGCCATCATATCGATAATGTATTGAATAAAAACCAGCAAGTCGGACTCGCACACGAAGGGTTCCGTACCCACCTCGCAGAAGACCGACGTAAAATAGAAGTGTTATAACTTCTACGTTTCGTCTGGTGAGAGAGGTAGCCGGGGCCCACTTTATTTAAAGATCGCAATTCATTTGCAACCCTACAGGTGTTACAAATGTCCATGGGCGGCGGTTAGTACTTAACATCAGGTGAACCGCCAGCTCGTTTGCCACTCTATCACATAAAAAAAAACATGTTTTATTATCTTTATTCAACATAGAAGTATTACATTTACATATTGTCAAAAACACTACTACTGTCAACATTATCTATAAAAAACGGCCAAAAAATTATGTCTGTTTTATGGGAGCCCCACTTATTTATATTTTTTTTTTTGTTTTTTGGTATTTTTTGTTATAGCGGCAACAGAAATTCATCGTTTGTGAAAATTTCAACTGTCTAACTATCACGATTCATGAAATACAGCCTGGTGACATGTGGACAGACATACGGACTTACAGACGGACATCGGAGTCTTAGTAATAGGGCGCCGTTTTACCCTTTGGGTACGGAACCCTGATAAGTCCCAGTAATAATGCAATGGCTTAAAACAGGAAGCTTTAACCATCAACCTAAATGCATACAATTGCATGCATGTCATAGTTTTGTTTCGCACAGTACCTTGCTGAGGAATAGTCAAATATTAACCGTCTTCTCCTATTACGACTATTAAGGGATATCTTTATGGATCATACAATCGGTGTAACTCAGAGACCCTTTTAAGTTGGCCGTGTCTACCGTGCAACACTATATCTCTGGAGCCTTTTTAGGATGCTGTACCCAAAGGGTAAAACGGGACCCTATTACTAAGACTCCGCTGTCTGTTTGTCCTTTTGTCAACAGGCTGTATCTCATGAACCATGATAGTTACACAGTTGAAATTTGATCTGGGTATTTGTTTCCCAAGGAGGGTTGACGTCAAGCAGGCGGCTGGTTGTAAAAATATAGGCAAAACCACTACCAACATGATTCATGTTGTGCCGACCCCACCTAGGTGGGATAGGGGCAGGAGGATGATAATAACTTGTATACTTGTCCCTCTATTTTAAAAGTTCGCGTCAAACGAAGTCATTTGAAAGAGGCTATTGTGCTTTCGGATGTTGGTTAAAAATGTCCTGATGGTGAATGATTATTTTGTAAAAAGATTTTTTATTGGTTGTGGCGGCTCCTCAATATTGGGGGGACTAACTTTTCCCGAAGCACAGCACATACCATTTGGTTCATCGACCCATTTTTGGCAAAACACTTAGAGCAGATCTTATTCGTGGCTACGATTTGGACGGAAGACTGGTGAGCAAAATGCATGAAAGCTGATCTGTTACTGTGAGCTAAAACTCGATCACGAACTCTAGTCGTTGACGTTTGTTATCTTTCTCTCTAATCTCGTATACGTTGGTAACGCTCAGACCTCGATTCCCTAGTGTGAATTTGTATATTTATATTATTATACCTTTCAAGCCACTGCAAACGCTCTATTTGACTCTCTCCGACTTGTAAGACGATACTCAGTTTCCGGTAAAGATGACCTCATTATGACGTATTTTTAATGTCCTCGCCTCCGAACTATTTCTAGAAAGATGAGATCTTGATCTTTTGGGCATTTTAAAATGATAAAAAAATTAAACTTCCTCAGTATTTAATAATTCACTAACTGTTGAACAGGAATTACCAGTATAAATATGATTGAAAACTTATAAGAACTACTAAGTCGGTCACTAAGCTGGATAGTTAAATTACAATATACTAACATTTTTAAAATTGCAATATCTAAGGAATAGAATGTCCGAATTTAATAATTCAAAAAGTTTTATAAACATATTGAAACAGTCTTAAATATGAAGTAATTTATTTTTATAAGGATTAATACCAAGATACAAATAAACAGCCTTTGTTACCGGCGGCATTTCAATCAAAATTTTAAAATAAAAGAACACTTATTGTGGCATAACTATAATAGTTAGACATATGCTGTCGCGACACTTTTTGTAAATAATGATGTGGTCTGCAAAGTTGTAGTACATTATTTTATTCTATCATCAATAGTTTTCGCAGCGCACGCGATGTAAAAAATGTTCTAGGTAATTTTTGTACACCTTGAGTAACATTATTGTAGTTTTAGTAAGGATCCCTAATTTTTTTTAAAATATTATATAGCCCATGTCAAACAGGGATAATGTAGCTTCTCAAGAGTGAAAGAATTTTTCAAATCGGTTAAGTAGTTTCGGAGCCTATTCGATACATACAAACAATCAAATCTTTCCTCTTTATATAATAGAAGATGTATTACTATTACTAAATTTGGTGCGAGTGACAGCCAGTGACAGCTGTCATTCAAAACATGCCTATCAAGTTTCTTAATTAATTATATCTGTAACAGAACTAGATGATGAACCGAGTGCCGATTCATATAATTCTGACTCTAATATCAGTTAAGGCAGTTTAAAGTACTTACCTAATAAAGGTAAATGTAAAGGACATGACGTTCGCGTAACATATGGATGGAGAAAAATCACTAATGAATTAATCAGCAAGCAGAATTCGCCCGTCGCTTATAGTTTTCGAAAAAAAAAATGAAATAGTGTAATTATCACTATTGAAATCCGCCATTTTATTGTTGTCAATATGTCAATTATGCTCTATTTCTGGGTGGTCACCCATCCAAGTACTGACCGCGCCCGGCATTGCCTAATTTAGGTGATCGGAGGAGAACGTCCATAGCATGTTGAATATACCGGATTCAACGTGCTATGGACGTTGGCTTTCGAGGTGGTCATAAAAAATACAATAAATCACCACGCCTATACCTTCTAACCTAATCTATCCGAGTCGGATTGGTCTGTGTCAGTTCTGTGACTCATTAAATAAATAAAATTCTAACAATTGATAAGAGTATGACGTTGCACGCTTGCTATATTTGTCATGTTGGCAGAACTGTATATTGAGTTTTAGAAGTCAAATTAATAAAATGGCGTACTTTCATAGTGTTAAATAACAAGTTTTAAATATTTTTTTCTTAAAAACTAGAAGCAACCGGCGAATTCTGCTTGTGGATTAATTCATTAGTGATATTTCTCTATCCTATTAATAATTATTTTAATTGAATTACGCAAATGTCAATGTCCTTTACATCAACTTTAATAAATTTCTATAAAAATATATGTTCGGCTATTTTGTTTCACTTTTTATGTCTAATATTTCTAATAGATACGTTCCGAACGATTTTCATTCTTTGTATTTCTCAACATATCTAAAATGATTACAATAAATACATTTTTTTTTTCGAGTCAAAACTTTGTCAATTATTTGATAATAAAAACTAGGCCTGAGCAACGATAGTCAAAATTTACTAATTCGAGTAAAAGTTGTTCTATCTAGCCATGTCAAAACCTCACATATCACTCACATCAAGCTACAACGCACAGACTATCCAAAGACAAACCAATAATTTTGAAATTTTTTATATTTCTTTTAAGTTGCATTACTTTCTTTTATTCTTTGTGAAAACATAAAATATAATATAACATTCACAAGACAAAACGTAGAAGTATAACACATCTACTTCACGCGGGTCTTCTGTGAGATAACAGTACTAACCTGGACGGACTTGTCCATTCGTGAACGAAGACTGTGCGTGGCCCTAAAACAGTCAAGGGACTTATTTTAAAAGAATTTCATAATATAACATAGTAATGTATAAGGTCTTTACTTTTAAAAGAACTAAAAACATAATTTACCATAAAATAACGTTCATCTTCTGTTAATTTAAAAAAAGAAAAAAAAAAATATTATACCAACACTATGTTAACTGGCAGATTGTTATGAACAAATTTAAAAAAAAATTAACTGGCAGATGGCCTAAAGGACCTGATTCCAGGGCCGTTAAACTAATAAAAAAAATCACTGGCAGATGTCAGTGTCACCACACACGAGTCTTACAGCTGATTGTTTAAAGCGGCATATTAACCTATTTAAAGTTATAATTTTTGTCGGATTTATAAATATTGCAGTGAATTTTACTCTACATGTCCTCGACTGGTGTTATATTATAATTTTTATGTCATGTAAATCCTAAACCTTTGGTCAATACGTTGTGAACATTAAGTGTGTGTAGAGTTGCTTGCTTTAAAGTAATTGTTTTAATTTTATATGAATTTAATGTTTGATTTTTATCATACTTTGATCGTAGTGTTCGCTAAATATTAAATCGGTAGTGTACGCGTTTAAATTAATTTCATGGTCATAATAAATACATTTTGTTTACTCACACAGTTTGTTTACATTACGAAGAGAATCATATTGTACCTATGATTAGATTTATAATTTCAAATTTTGGTAGAAATCGTAGTCACGTTAATAATAATAATATCAAAATTAGTTTTAAAAAAATAAATGTAATGTCGGGTTCAAATATATTTGAGAAAAGTGATGTGAGTATGGTTGAAGTTCCGGCAAAAAAAATTAAACTAAGCCACGACAATTCTGGAAAAAGAACTGTAGCTACAATGTGCGGTGCTTGGAGACCAGAAGAAGACGAAGGGGGACTGAATTTAGTTCTAAAGATGCGGCTACCGTGCTTAAGTCCGGATCCAGAGAGACAGTGCGATTTTCCGGAGAATATTGAAGATTTTTGGCTGGCGACCTTCCAAAGCGACGATGACGAACAGGTGAATATTTAAAAATTTTGTGATTAATAAAATTGGAGTGGATTTTAAACTGCGTCATCTACTGTTAGATTGATCTAAATGTTTACAACTTGATTTTGCTATGATGTTGAGTTAGTTCGGACGTAAGTTAACAGAGGGCGCTATATAAATGCTTGTTGAAGTCTTTGTCGAAATGAAACTATTCCATTTTGTTGCTATTTCATAAAGGAGAACATGCTTTAATTTCTTATATTAACATGGATAATGCACGGAACATTGCATGTAACAATGACAGTAAACGCTCGTGAAAAATAATACTTTCTCGTCAAAGAAATTCGACCTTAGATTTTACAGTCAATGTTACTGTGTCGAAGTCGCTGTCTGTCTGTCCCTATTTATGCTTAGATGTTTAAAACTACGCACCGGATCTTATTTATGGATCGGTTTTTTTACTTCATAGAGTGATTCAAGAGGAAGGATTATATGTATAATATATTGCATATAGACCCGGCCCATGCGAAGCCGGGGCGGGTCGCTAGTAACTAATAAAGACGGCGTACCATAAACAAAATTTCACAGAAAGTTTTTCAATGCTTTAAAATCTTGTCGTCCTAAACTGATTTTATTCTGCATGTTTATAGTGCCCCGTGTAAAATATCCTGTTAAGGGAGCGATAGGTACCAAATGAGTCTGTCGTCATTTAACAAACTCAAATGCGAGAGATTATATGAAAACGTAGTGCGCGAGCCGCGTTTAGAACTCCATCGTAAAAATTTTGCATGTTCGACGAAAGCATTTTAATCATCGCCGGCACAAAGGAGACCTTTCCGAATACTTCACGCATAAAATGTCGCAATGAACGGCCGTTTGTACGCCTTTATTATAGAAATTCACTACAACACACCTTGCGTAGAATTTCCATCGGCAAACGTCTAAAATTTATTAAACTATTCCTTCAATTACTATACTGTTATCATTGCGTCATTAAGCTATTTTAAGTCTTGCATTTATTTAAATGAATTTTGGAAACAAGTTACGTATTGAATCATTAAGTCAATCAAAAACAGATTTACGTCAACTTGTTTTGATCTCTTTCAGATACTTTCAAAATTGATTTTTTACGTTATTGGAGCTTTTGGAAATTAATATGATAGTAAAATTTTTGCTATACGCGTGTACATCGGCATCGACATATTAAAGTTGAACAGTTCAAAACGACCTTCACGGTATTACCATGTCAACCAATAACAACTTTTTAACATTTACATAGACAGTAAAGTAAAGTACTATGGTACTTTACTTTACTGTCTATGCATATCTGTCCCAATGCTGGGAAAAGGCCTCCTCTGTTCAGAGGGTATTAGGGTATAGTCCAACACGCGGCCCCACTGTGAATTGGCGGACTTCACAATGTATCCTCGAAATATTTTGGATATATGCAGGTTTCCTCATGTGAGTAGTGATAAGTCAGTACCTAAATTGACAATTTCATTGGTGCCGGCACCGGGGAACGAACTCAGGGTGCTCAAGTATATTGAATTAAAGGCGAGCAATGAAGGCGCGGACAATGAGCTGTCACGGCTCATTGTCTGGGCGCTCGCTATAATTCCAAGTTATTTAATTAAACCGTTGTTATTTGCGTTTAATGTATTTTTCTGTCAGCTCTGAATTCACGCATTGAAAAAATGTCTATTCATACCTGACCTCACTCTTGAGGAAAGACATAATTATATTGGACTCTGACCCGCTCCGCTTTCGCACGGGTGCAATGCATTATAAATGTAAACTTTCCTCTTAAATGACTCTATCTAATAAACAAAACCGCATCACGATCTGTTGCGTAGTTTTAAACATCTAAGCATACATACGGACAGACAAACAGCGGGACGACTTTGTTTTATACTATGCAGTGATGAATCACGGGAACGCTTTCGCATACCTTCGCAGCACTGCCTGCGCTGGTAGCCTTAGCAGCCCTTCCCCGGAGTAACCCCCTCTCCTACAGGTAAGGCGTACTGGTAAATATAGCGCGGCTTCGTACTCGTGCCCTTTTGAATGAGTAGCTCAAAGGCCATGGGAGCGAGGAGAGCCAGTGCTAATATCAAGCCACTACTAATAGTAAATTGACTGTGGCATCACCGCTCACCACGTTTCGGCTGAGGAGGTTGATACCTATACTCCTCCACTCATAAATGTAACTTGTGACGGACATAATTGGTTTCATGTACTACCACCTTAGATGGGCCCTTTTTATCTCCATACCGCGGACCCTCTGCTGCATGGACGGAACAACTTCACCCAGTCGCGGAGTATTTAGTAGAAATTTGGCGTCATTTTCATCACCACAAACCTGACAGTGCTGCCATTTGCATGTGAAGATTAGAACGGACCTATATGTGTTTCTCTATCGCAATGTCGGGGACGAATACAGACTTATGTCTGGTTAAATCACTACGTACATTGCATAATTAATTCGGCACCGTAGCCTGAGCTTAATGTTATCCGATGTTGTTAATTTAATTAATTATGTTTTGAACGTGTATGTCCCAATGTTTCGTGTATATTAACGGAAGCACGATACACGTGCGAACTACAGACTATAATGAGGCGAATTGTTCTCAATAATTTAAAATGCCGGTATATTGAATGTAAAAAAACCCTTCGGTAGAAAAAATAAAGAAATCCCCAATATAATATAATATAATATATATAGACTAACCCAATTAACGGTGGTAGGACCTCGCAGCAGCCTCGTCTGTTCCACGAATGGGGAGGCTCGTCCGGGTAGGTACCACGATCTCACAGAAGACCGGCGTAAAGTGGGAGTCTAGTACTTTCGCGTTTCATCTGGTGAGTGAGGTAGCGGAGAATAATTTCCAAAAAGGTTGTCAACGCATCTGCAAACCCTCGGGTGTAGCAGATATCCATGGGCGGCGGTATTCACTTAACATCAGGTGAACCGTCAAATTATAGGTGTATTAATACTTATTTAAGGTGAACAGCCATATTTTCAAGTAGAAAAGTATAGTTAATGGCTGCCTGAGATTTAAACTTTTGACGAAAACGTTCAAGGTGTTTCAAATTTTACAATATATTACTATAAAAGGTTTTTAAGAGTTTTATAGAGCGATGTTAAAAGCTTTGAAGTGTCGTGAGTGCGTTTACTCTTTGTTCGTTTTATGCAATTTCGCTTGTGATGGGACTTTACAAGGCATGTACATCGTTTTCGTCACATTTCTTCAAGTTTTACGATAAAATAAACGAGACGAAATTTTCGAACATAGCAATACGAAAGGTAATAAATAATAGTAGGAACGATTTTGGATTACTTACTAAATAAGCATTATGTTTTAAAAGCATTCGAAATGAATTGAAGCTGGCCAGTACTCAAAATACTTTGTGTGCTGATTATTTTCAACTTTATAAAATTTACTGTCATCTGATAAACGAAAATGTTAAACTTATTAAAAGAAAACTTAAGGAGAAAACCTCAGGGTGTCGTTAATTTCATGACAAGCTTTTTATAAAGAGTGGAACACACTGAGGCTTAAGACTAAAGAGTTTTTGGCGAGTCGGTGGCATTTCCCTTTGTAAGCGAGGGTGGTTTGCCGTCGGCTTTTGAATGTAGTAAGCAATCGAGCATCGCTAACGAGATGCTGACGAGGCACTACGTTATAACGCTAGGTGGAAATTCGTTGCTGCAGCGCTTGTAGTAAAAAAGGACTGCTCCGTAAAGCGGTTTAAAACCGAAGGACTTTTTAATGTGTGAAGGTGGCAAAAGAGCTCGTTAAATGTTAATTTATTCACCTGACGTTAAATCATAACCCATTGATGTTTGCAACACCCAGATTGCAGATGTGTTGCCATTTTTAATAAAGTGCGCCTCGGCTAGTTCACTCGTCAGATAAAACGCAGAATTACTTTTCTAGTTTAGTAGTAATTTTAAAGTTTTTAGTAATTTAAACGATTACTTGACCTTGCAGGACTGACTGGTATTAACAAACCTTCACAAAATTAAACATAATTAATTATGAATTAACGTAAAATATCGAGAAATTAAAATACATAGTTTCAAAATCTGATTCAGACACGGTTCTCAGTCTCAGAAAAAACGATACGACCCATCTCTAATTCACAGTGATTTTATCGCTTTGACGGTGTTTTTTTCACATCGCTAATACGTACTTTATTTGAATTTGTATAGTGATTATAAGACCTTGTCATCATGTCGTGCAAGATCTTTCAAAAATTGAATGAGTCAGGCTCATCCGGGGAAGGCCGACTATAAAGACGTGAGACGCCTAATGAACGCGCGAAAGTAAAACGATAGCGTGCTTAGAACTACGTACAGCGCCATCTAGTTATGGGATAAATAAGTCTGTCTTTAGTCCCTAGTTATAATAATATAAATATGTATGATTTGATTAAATTATTGTAAAGAATATATTAATAAATGCCTAATTGATAATTTTTATTTAGATAATTTTTTTATTTTCATTATCATACGAAATCTTTTTGATGTCATGAAGCGCCAACTTTAAGCCAATCATGTTTATTGCGTATGACATTTGTTTAAAAAACATTATTGTTTTCGTGTATATAAAGGTTACCAACTTTGCGACGTGGTTTTGATACACTTTTTTAATACCTACAGCTCTGCCGCGTTTAAGTTACGTAACAATCTCACTTAGCTTAGAACTCTTAAGATGTACGGCAAGATGGCGCTAGTAGCTATCTTTAGCCATAGAGCTGTAGTTGTATTTATTTTATTTATGATAGCAATGGAATATAATATTTGTAATATGCAAATATACAAATATTGTACTGTTATATGTTTTAAATATTTTTTGCATTAAAATTATTAGTAATCGAGTATTATCTTCTATTCGATTATTTTCCTTCTAGTCCTAATGTAACTGAAGTTGATAATTACACAGTTTAATAACTATCATTTTGTATAATAGTCCTAATAATTTGTAAAATAGTCAAAAAATCATAACAATGAATTGATCCTGTTATTAAATGTCTTC